GTGCTGCTCGTCCGCCATTTCTTAATCTCTCTCTCTCTCTCTCTCTCTCTCGGGTTCAAGACTTCAAGCTCGTCTGGATGATGGGAAATGGCGGGAGTTTGTGATTTTGGCGCGAATAAGAAGAAGATGAGCTTTTTGTCATTGGACTTGGGTTTTTCCAGTATGGGCTATAAGATATGGACCCAGCTTCAACTTTTGGCCCACGCCTTCTTTTTTTCGCTCTTTTCCAACAAGCCGAAACGTTTTTCCATTACTATAAATATTTTTGAAACGTTTATTAATGAATACTTATTTACTAGACCTAAATAATTTATCACCGGTAAATACTCATCGTAAACAGTATGCTATTTATGTCGGGTAAATAAATAGTTACCAGTAAACATGTTATTTACATCAATTCTTTAAAAAATATGTTGTTTATTTTAAAAGGTTCTTAGAATTTTTTTTTTTTCCTCTTCGTCTCTTTTTCAAACATTTTTTTATTAATTATGGTTGATTTTTTGTATTTTCATATGCAAACTTTAATTGAAAGATTGTTACAGAGTTTTTTGTCAAACTCAAGAAATTTATCGCGAAACGTGTAAACGACAACAGTACATAAGGAAGGACAATATTAGTAAAAACAACAACATCTAAATAAACGACATTGCATTTTCTATAAATGACGAGCAAGGAAATGACGTCTCTAATAACCTTTATTTATTTTTAGTACTCTATTAGAAAACGAGAATAAACTGTAAACGACAGAAGTATAGAAACTATAATACTTCATTTTTATAGAAACATAGATGTTGTGACGATGACTTATATGCCGATAGTATAATAGACAGATCCGACCGACTACATTAACATATAAACGACAACATCATTGTAAAATGACAATAATTCTTAAAAACGACAGTGAATTTTAATACAACAAAAGGCTATAAAACGACAAACTTTTTGCAAACGACAAGGAATCAATAATTAAGAACATCCCTTACAAACTACAACTCGAGGGGGAAAAATGGACAACAGTATATAAGGAACTCTTTTACGGAAGTCGAATATCGATAAGGAATAATATATAACCATTGTTGTTACTTCAACTACTTACGCTTGCTTCTTTTTCCTTTTCTCTTTTAAAAATTTTGTATTTTAAAATGTTTCTAATTAGGATATTTTTGTTCTCTAATTTGTGCTTTGTAATAATTCATTCAAAGCCCCCATTAAAATACCATTCCACACAGTCCTCTAAAATATATTTTTTCAAAAAAAAAAAAAAAAAAGCATAATAGATACCCTTCTTAACGATCTTCCCCACAAAGATAAAAAGTTTTTGAAACATATCCAAAAATTTCTTTGAAATCTTATATTTATTGCATATATTAGTTATTGTTTCGATTTAAAGTTTTTTTTTAAGGAAAAATGCAATACCTCTTTTAATATCGTACACATTTTTAAGTAAGAAATTACCCAACATCTTGTTGGTTTTCTTCTCATATATATGTATAAACAACACGTGTGCCTCCCATAAGCTCATACTATACTATAAAGCCTTAACGTTAACATAAACCAATCCGTGATTATCATCAATTATCAATATATATAGTTCATCAATAATGCATAATTACACACACGAACGTATTTTTATTTAGGATGCTTATCCGTTTTATACGTTCTCTCAGTCAAATGTTGATTTCGACCAATTAAAAGACCATTTTACTTGGCTTCTTTTTTTTTTTTTTTTTTTTAAAAAAATACCATTGTACTAGTTATAAGGTGCACAGTGAACGAATTTATCATATTCCCTATAGGATAAAGTCGCCAATCAAGTGATAAAAAGTACTACCTGACGAAAGATAATGAATGAGTTTGATATGGAATTTACATTCAAAGACAACATAGAAAAATGGGTATTATATGTTTTTATTGGCTTAAAACGTCGGGTACGTAGAAATAACAAATAACCCTAAAAATTTGTTGTGTACGTACGTATGTAACAAAAGCATCTGAATAAAGTGGTTTGGAGAAAAAATAAATAATAAATGAGAGATTGCAAAATAATTTAGATTGGCCCCAAATCTAACAACTTTATTCAGATCAGTATTGACCATTATAATGTAGATCCACCACAAATACAAACTAGACAACAAAGCCAAACTCTTGAATCAACCACCGCGAGCATCTTAATAATTCTTGATATATATATATATATATATATATATCGATACGTATAAGTAGAGGCTAAAGTAACAATAACGATTAGGTCCTGCATTATTGCATACGCAAAACGTATTTTGGAAGAATATTTCAATCACTAAGACAATTTAGCTGCAAGTAATATCACAATCAATTTGTTATTCTTAAATTCACATAACAAACAAATTATAATATTAGTAAGATAAGATTTAGGAGATAAGTTGGTATATCTATCATTACTCTCTTATGGCGTCGTACCAAAATAAATTTTCTGATTGTTTACCATTTAAAAAAAAAAAAAAAAAAAAAACTTGTTGGCAGTTTATAATTTCAATATTTGTATACTACATTGGGGAAAAAAAAAGACATAGAAGATGCAGCTAAATCATAGGTTAGCCTGTTAACTTCAATGTATGTGTATATATTACGAAATTTTGGTTAGGTATGTTGGTGCGTCTAAATGATATGCACTTCTAATATTAAGCAAAACGACATAGAAGATGCCACCTGCCTCTCTCTCTCTCTCTTAAGTATAGGTCTCGTTCATTTCACCGATTCGAGTTTTCAATTTTATGTTTCTACAGTAAAAAACTCTCAGAAAATGTCACATCTAACTTTTTCTATTACAGTTAAAAACTCTCAGAAAATATCATATCTCAACTCGAATTAAAAACTCGAATCCGCAAAGTGAACGAGACCTAATAATATTCGAACTCGTATTCTCTAAAACCCAAACTCTATCTCTTAACGTTTCACTTCATTGGCCTTGCTTAAGTAGAGTCGCTTTCTCTCCCTCTTTTTGTTTTTTGTGTTTTTTTTTTTTCCATTTTACATTTTATAAGTTTGAGGAATAGATACAAGAAATGGCTGCGTAACATACCAATAGCTTAGTAAAGTTATAAAGGCATACATAGTGTAGTTTCAACAGATATTTTTACTTATTAGTGGGTATTATTATTTTAATTGTGTGATATTAATCAAATAATTCTAATAAATTAGATAATTGATTAAAAAATGTATAATAATTAATACAATTAGATTCTTAATATGTTACCTCATAAATTATATTTAATAGGTAACTATCGTTAAAAATATAATCATTCAAAATTTATTGACGAATACTTATATCACACATGATTTTCCACAATTAAAAAGCTAGACATAAAGGGGTTATTCTTTTGTCTAAAAAACTAAAAAAAAAATAATAATTCGAGTTTCAACTTTATTCAAGTTCATGTTCTTTTAAGTTTCAATTTTATTCAACTTTACTCAATTTTATTCAAGTTACAACTTCAATTCAAATTATAACTCAAAAATTACACTCAAATTACACTCCAAAAGAACAACTTTAAAATTATTTGCTTTTCCGTGCTTACACATGTCGTGATATTAAAAGAACGGAATAAACTATTTAATAAATCAATAAATTCAAACCAAAGAAATAAAAGGCAAGTGAGTACTACTTCCACTGTCAAATGGAAGCCCACCTTGTTCCTTGGCCTCTGTCCCACTGAGTTACTCAGGTGTATATTATAATCTACATCTCTAAATTATTATTATTTATGCTTTGTTCACTTTACGAATTCAAATTTATATGTGATATGTTTTTAGAGTTTTTTAATGTAATAAAAAAAATTAGATGTAATATTTTTTAAGAGTCTTTTACTGTAAAATTTAAAACTGAAAATTTAAATCGGTGAAATGAAATAGACATTAATATATTTTCATGAGATTTATGAGATGAGGAAAATGAAAGAGTTAGGTTTATTCATTTATGTGGGACGGCCATGGTATTATTAATATAGGACCCTACTTCCAGTCGTCCGTGGAATGAATTTCTGTTTGAAAAGAGTGATAGATTGTCGTGTTCAATGAACTTTCCAGAAATGCATTACTCTAAACTATGCACGCGTGACATGCTAATAAATCCCGTCTAAAATAATAGACGTGTTTGGAACTCGTTCTAAAATAATTTTATTTTTTATATGAAAATGAAAATGAAAACGTTTTCAATTTCAGACATAAATTATTTTTAAAGATGCATTTAGTAATTTTATTAAGATATTATTTTCAGTATAAAAAAATTCATTAATGTCTATCTCTCTGCTCGAGAGAGAAGAAAATAAAAAACGACTAAAAGTTGTCTTTCATTTCTCTCTCTTTTATACTAAATTAAAAAATTATTTTCATTTTTTTTTTGACTTTATTGCGCTAAACGCCGTTTTATAAATGTTTTTATTTTTCTTTAAAATATAAAAAATAAAAACGAAATTAATTTCAAACACAACCAATGTGTTCATAATTGTAGACTTAATCTAATGGTAAATCTCATTGATACTTGCGTGTTCGTGGTCCAAATTTAGCTTAGCGGTAGCGGTAAATTTACATGTTTTGCTTTTGTCTCATATGCGAATGAAATATTATCTGTGTTTTAAGTAAATATTGATTGATATATTTTAGGGAGAAACTAGAAACTAGAAAGTGAGAGAGAGCAAATAAGGACCACAGTTAGCAGCAGTTTCTAGCCATCCATAGTGAGTGGACAAAGAGGAGTGAACTATATTGTTTCCAAAAAGTTAAAAATAAATAAAATTGAGCCGCCACTGGACAATCATGTTGCAACAAATATTTTTAAGTAAAAAAATACAAAAGCTTATCAGCAATGACATTCATCGTTGGCTTTAATCGGACAAAATACCAAATTTGTAATATATCTATTTCATAAATTTCAAACCGAGAAAATACAAATTACACATAATAGTATACTAACATTGGTTCGTAATAGAATAATTAGTATTGACGGTGAAAATTTGTTCAACGAGATAATCATATGAGACGGTTACAGAATTAATTTACTCGGTGAATGTGACAGGTAATTGAAATTACAGAAAAAAAATAAAAAAGAGGGAACACTAAAATTTTTAGTGGTTCACCTCATGGCGTCCACTGTGCCGTTCCTCAAAAATAGAAGGTCATTTCACTATAACTTTGAGAGAACACATGAATGCATGAGAGCTCTTTGCCAAAGATTAGACCTAGAGTTTCTTTTCTTTTTTCTTTTTTTTTTTTTTTGAAAGGATTGGACCTATAGTTTTTACGCAGGGTAAACCTGTTTTTTGTACAAACTTAGGTTGGTTAATACCGACACATCTAAATTTGAATTCAATTCCTAGTGTGATTATCTCTACTAATTTCAAGCTTTATCTCATGTCGGATTTTATGACTTCTTATCTTGAGTTAGATGTTTGGGTTAACCGAGATTTTTGGTCGTTATGCGTATTCTTCATATTGAATTTTGAACAACCTCATTGGCTATATGCCTATATCCTTATCTTGAGAAGATTCTGTTATAACTGGCTTATTTGGGTTAGGTCAATTCGCTATCAACAATTAATATATTTATTTTGAAAAAATTATTGAACTTACTTGTAGAATACATGTATCTAGATTTTAACATTTTACTATTGATTAATACACTTTTAATTAATATAGTATTTGATTAAAAAAGAATTAATAAAAAATGAATAGTAAAAATTCAGATTTGTGCCCTCCAAGAGCTCTTTGTCTCATTTTCTGTGTTGTTTTGTATATTTCTCACCAAAAAATCGCTTCGAGGTTTTAAAAGCTACAATGGTCATAAAAGAAAATGAATTTGTATCTACATTACACCGCAGTTCAAGCAGTACTTTGAGGAGCATTTAACACGTAGCAAGGCCAAATGAGCCTTGCAATGTTGGCCAAATCCAACCCCTCTTAATTAATTACAGATTTCTACAATAAAGTATTCGAAATAATGCATATTTCTAAACCTTACATCCACAAAACTTACACTTTTACATACCACACTATAAATTTATCAATAATACATTATCAATTTCCCAATTTCCACACATAAATTACGAAAAAAACTCGAGAGCAAGGAAAAATACTTTTAATGAAACATGACAAAACTGTCAAATTTTAATCAAATTCCATACTTTTCATAATTTGACTAAATGCAATTTGAAAGTTTAGAATAGTTCTATCACTACAATGCTTTTCATATTCTATGTAAAATTTTCCTTAATAATCTTTCAAATAATAAAAAAAAAAAGATTTTCCATAATAATAATGTGATGTTTTCCAACTCTCCAGTCAGCTGTCACGCCAGCTCCTACTTCCTCCGTCACTTTCTCGCACTCCCTCTCACTACTTCATGTCATGTGCCTGCATCCTCTCTCTCTCTCTCTCTCTCTCTCTCTCTCTCTCTCTATGTATATATATACATATATATGCGCACACACACACACAAAATCGGGTTGGCTGAGCTCTCACACTGCCAAAGCAGAGAGTAAATCCAACAACAGAGTTGTCCCAACTCGATCGTCCGTACCAACACCGATCGACCAGCATTTTTCCATCAAAAAAAGTAATTTCAGTTTGATAAGAACAAGATCGCTCTAAATGCACGTACATCGAGCTCGATCCTCTCTCTAAATTCAATCATCACCCTAACTTTTTTGGTTCTCTCTCTCTTCTGACACCAAAAACAGAGAGAGAGAGAGATATGAACGACCAATTATCCAAACCAACAGCGATCTTCGGCCTCCGCTTGTGGGTCGTCCTCGGGGTCTGCGTCGGAGCCTCCTTCGTCCTCCTCCTCTTCCTCATATCTCTCTGGTTCGCCTCTAAAAGATCCAAGAACAACAACAATGACAAGTCTTCGCAAATACCCACAATTCCAATTGTATCGAAAGATATTTTAGAGGTTGGTTTCGATCATAGCCACAGGCCAAAGCGGACCCAGATTGATCACGACCCGTTTCCCTATCCCGACACGGCTCCGGGAACGGACCGGCAAGCATTGCTCCCGCCTCCGGAGGAAGAGAGCCCGTTGGGTTATCGGAGAATCCAAATCGAAATCGGCAAGGATCATCGGATTTCTTACCCGGCAAGGTTTGGTAGATCTTGTTATAATAATGAAAATGGTGGTGGTGGTTATCAGGTGACTGTGGCCGTCCCTGAGGTTTCCCACTTGGGTTGGGGGCATTGGTACACTCTGAGAGAGCTCGAGGCGTCGACGGACGGCTTCTCGCCGTTGAATGCCGTCGGAGAAGGCGGCGACGGGATTGTCTACCATGGTGTTTTGGAAAACGGCACTCACGTTGCTATCAAGAACTTGCTCAATAATAGGTGTGGTTTTAAGAATCTAGTTACTAGTGTTGCATAAAGCCTAGTGTTTGAGTAGTCTTTTTTAATTGATGAAACGATAATAAATTGGTGTTTGAAAGGGGACAAGCTGAGAAGGAGTTCAAGGTTGAGGTTGAAGCAATTGGACGAGTTAGGCACAAGAATTTAGTGAGATTGCTTGGTTATTGTGCTGAAGGAGCTCATAGGTACTTCTTTCTTTCTTTTTTTATTTTATTTTTAAATTGCCATCTTTTTCTGAATTCCATCAAATTTATCTTCAAGTCCCATATAACACTTTTCCGTGTCTCTCATGGTGATGTAGGATGCTTGTCTATGAGTATGTAAACAACGGGAGTCTAGAGCAATGGCTACATGGTGATGTAGGACATTGTAGTCCTCTTACTTGGGAGATTCGGATGAATATCATCTTGGGAATAGCGAAAGGGTATGTTCTGAAAGCTTTGATTTTTTCTTTTCTTCCCCTTCATAAAGCCAAAAAAAATTTCATTTTTTTATAGTCACTAGTGAACTAAACTTGTAGGTTGACTTACCTTCATGAAGGACTAGAGCCTAAAGTCATCCACCGTGATCTCAAGTCAAGCAGCATTATACTCGACAAGCAATGGAATCCCAAGGTTTCAGATTTTGGCCTCGCCAAACTCATTGGCTCAGATAGGAGCTACACCACAACTCGTGTCATGGGAACATTTGGGTATGTATATCTGAGATTGAGCAAATTTTTATGTTATTTTTTTTGTGATGGTCTCCAGTAGGCCGTCCTACCGGTAGGATCAGTTTTCTGACCGTTGGATCTTGTTAAAATCAAATGAGATTTAAAAGGTACGCAAACACAGACAATTTCTGATGTAAATCTGACGGCTGAAAAAAGTAAAACTACCAGTAATTCAATTTTTCTGACCCCACGGGAAAGACTCCTTTACCTTTCAAAAATAGATCATAAGATAACATGTTGTTGTCTTTGTAGCTACGTGGCTCCTGAATATGCAAGTACAGGCATGTTGAATGAAAGAAGTGATGTGTACAGCTTTGGAGTTCTTATGATGGAAATAATTTCTGGCAGAAAACCGGTTGATTGTAACCAACCTTCAGAAGAGGTTTGCGCTTGAGATACCGCGGAAGTCAACTTGTGTGATTTAATCAGTTCTCAATGTTGTCATTTTTCCCTTGTGTCTCTCCGTGTCATGTTTGGATTGAAGGGTTTTTTTTATCAATTTTGTAGGTGAAATTAGTGGAGTGGCTTAAGAAGATGGTTAGTAACAGGGATTCGGAGGGAGTACTGGATCCGAAGCTACCTCAGAAGCCGGTTTCTAAGACGTTGAAGCGGGCTCTTCTTGTTGCCTTACGTTGCGTCGATCATAATGCACACGAGCGGCCTAAGATGGGACACGTTGTACATATGCTTGAAGCTGATGAACCCCCCTTGAAAAATGTATGTCTTCACTTGGTTCCCGCTTCTGTCAAATTCGGCATAGCATTTTTTGGTACATAAAAATGCATATCATATTACCTGAAGTAAAAAAGCCCTTTTAACCATAAGACATATCAAAATCATAAAAGGACTTAAAAAATATGCTGAACTTAAAGCACAGATATTGATGAGTATAGAAATTGTTTACATCATAGCTTAAGACACAGCCGAAAATATTTTCCTTCTTTGATATTAACATTTATATTCCATGTGCTCATGTTTCTGCTTTTGTTACTCACCAAGATCTTAACATCTTTGCTAATTAGGGTCGGATGGCTCGAAGGGACACAGGGCAATGAGCCGGTGAGAGATGATGTCGGAAATTACTGGAGCGGGAAGGTGGAGTGCCATTGCGATAAACAGGGCCAAATCAAGAGGAAAAACAGATGTCTTTTGAAGGGTATTGCTGATCTTGAACTCTGTTTAAAAGTTGGCCATCCGTGTAAATGCTGATTAATTCGTTCATTCATATGGCACTCGATTTGGCGTCTTGATTATGGATTTATAGCTAGCTAATACAAGAAAAATATGCTTCAGTGTTGATAAACACTAGAGGTAGAAGATAAAGCATTTATCAAGAGTTGTATATTGTAATTTGGCCAAGTTATTGCTTAAATCCTAGTTTAAAGAGGGATCACCAAATAATTTTGTTTCATCCACTCGTACTCATGAGCTCATACACATTAACACATGCAAATACAAATACATGAAACGGCATTTGAAGTAACAAAATTAGAGATATCTCTATTAGTCAAAGCATACGACAAGCTAGCCATATGTGGCACTGTCGTGTATCTGATACAAGTGGCGCATTTACCAAGCATAAGAATATATGTAGAAAAATTATTTCCGTGCGGTTCAAACAAATAGAAGGTATCAGGAAAAGCGTCGCAATCTACAACCAAAATGAGAGAGCCGAGGCCAATATTAATCCACACAGCCACTGCAACTGAGCTGGTCTGCTATCAAGCGAAGCGAGAGATGGCGTTGATGGAGATGTGGTACTAGTGCCCTCGGCTGCTGGTGGAGGGGGAGAAATCGGCGGAACATCACACGTACCATATGTTGCATTTTCCTGCTCATAAGACAAATAATAGGTCAACTAATGGCTAGAAAAGCAGTTGACAAAAAAGTGAATGTGGTAGCAAGTAGCATTTTTTTTCCCCTTTCAAAGTAAGTAACAAAACCTTGCAATAGGCAATGTTGTCGCAACCACATGTCAGATGACCATTTGCTTGATCAACAGCTTCTGGGGCTCCCCCACCGTCGCTTTTCTGCAACAAATAACAAATTAGTTACCTTGTGGGGCAAATTTTGTCCCCCATTTGTATTTCACTGTCTCGTTTATAGTTACCTTGCTCTATTTTTGGGTAGGTAAATCAGATATGATAGTCACAAGTATCATTGGACTAAAATGTCTAAAGTCTATACCTGGTAGTAATCAACAGCAATGAAATTTGGCCACCTGTTGCCTGCTGCTTCATAACAAGTCTTCGTCATGCTTTCCAATGGAGCTGAATTGTCTGCACATACTTTCGTTGCATTTGGGTTGTCGGGGAAGTAATTCTGCAGGACCAATGATCTTGATGTTGTGCTCAAAGGAGAGGATTCGGCACGGTGTGGACACGAACTGGAATTCATCCCACCATTTCCATCTAAAAACGTTTATCATTTGGCAAAATCTTTAACATTAGACGCATAATTCAAAAGGTTAACAACTGAATAACGGAGTCAGTTCTAGTCATTTTTCTTTCAGTAAGTTTGTAATTGAGAACTCACATTGGTTTTCCACCACATAGTCCCACTCATGAGCGAACCCTTCAGATTCCTTATTCTTTTTTGAGGTGAAGGCCACCAACCTCTGGTTCTTCTGAACCATGTCATCGACCGTCGGCCAATCTCCCCCATTCTTTGGCATCCGAGACACCGGGAAGAGATATTTGTTCAGGCCAGCGGAATTAAAGACCTTTGACAAGCCCTGAGAAGATGTCACGTAGTCCTCTATAAAAATGGTGACAATCTCGGACGGGTTTGCTTCCAAGAACGTTTGGATTTCTTTTAGCACGTTAATGGCAGGTTGCTGCATAGAACATTAATTCACATACAAAATTTCATTAAAGGGAAATTTTTTTTTTTTTTTTTTTTTTCCTGAAGTACATAAACGACAGAGCAATTTATAATTTGGACTTACAAATGCTGTGAAGTTGTAACATTTGCCACCAGTGGAATGACATAACCAAATATCATTCAAGAAGTCGTACATATCTAGCATAAGCCCTCGTACTCCGTTCTACCAAAGATTAAAAAATGAACTAAAAAAATGAGGTGTGTCATTATCAAAAGCTATTATTTAATTAGTAAAGTAAAACCAACTTAATTAAATTCCAAAAGACAATACGAGAAAGAAAAAGTAACAAAATCAGGCATATGCTCTAAGACAGATTCCATGTGGTGGGTTAGAATAAGTGCATTGGAAGGTGGGAATTAGTTAGTTCAAGTGGATTAGTTGGAATATTAATCATCCATTATAATTTTGTTTAATCAAAAGGTAAAAATAACAGGTGGGCTTGAATGCTTGATTTTAAACCTAGAGGGGACAAACAAAAGTGGGGATATGCACAGACCCACATCCCAACTGTTATACTTTCCAATTTCTATACTCATCACTATCACTCTCACTCACTCACTCTCACCTTTTTAATTTATGTCCTTTTTCTCTAAATCCAACTATCTCTCTCTCTTACTATCCTTTTCAATTTATGCCCTTTTTTTTTTATTTATCTAAAATCTAAATCCAAACTTCCTTTCAATTTCTTGGTTGGCCTCATTAGCTCATTTAACCCAACTCCTTTCAGTTTCCGTCGGTACTTGCAATTAAAAGAAAAAAAAAAAAAAGAAGAGAAAATTTTACAATGATAAAGTGATCCAGTATGCGAGTGCTGCGTGTATCCACTTGAGTTCAAACTTTGTTAGTTATTCAGCAAAAAGAAAACTTTGTTAGCTTTATTTTTTGAGTAAAATAAGGAAATTTTACGGTATATTAAATTTTTAACGATTAGATATATATTTATATTAAAAATTTATATCACGTTACATAAAATTATTTTTATTATAAATTTAATAAAAATAATTACTCTAAAATGGATCACAATTGTGGGACGCACGGTAAAGGAAGCCGTAAAACCCTATGCCACAAACCGTATGAAAAAGAAAATCCACCAGTTAAGATTTATGTTTTTAACCGTATTACTGTTTCTGTCAGTTCTAAATGTAATATTTGACTAAATACCGCTGAAACGTCACAAACGTGTGGTAAGAGCATAAATAAATAAATAAAGGCCATATTTTGTCGGGTGCGACAGTGATAACACAAGTCGAATTGAACCCAAAACCAGCTGCCACGTCAGCAGACGGAATGATATCTCCATCAAGATGATTAAAAAGAAATTGTGAAACCAAAAAAAGTAAAAGAAAAGAAAAGAAAACTTACATTGAGCTGAGAAGCAACGGTGTCTTCTTGATTCATGGGAGTGACGAGGTAAGATCCGGTGGCGGACTTAGCACCGGCTCTGGCATACGAATTGTGGGTCGTCAACCAGGAATAATTGTTAAATGGCAAGTTTTTCACCTGTTTAAAAACCCAAAAAAAATTAACGCAAATAAAAATTAAAATAGAATGGACATGAAAATATAAATATAATAAAATAATGAATTTTATTTTGTACCTCAGAAGTTGGGATGATTGGTTGGATTCGGGTGCATCTGGGTCGGGTATTCCCGTTGGCGGCGCAAGTTTCGCAGCGCAACCCGGTGTCGCAATCACTGTCCTTGGAACAAGTCTCTCCGATCTGTTTGGCAGCCCAGAAATTAAAAAGGAAAGTTTAAGAAACCAAGAAATCAAAAAGGGAAAAAGCGGAGAAGCCGAAGAATTGTTCCAACTTGGGAAAAGAAAAGAAAAACAAAAAATGTTTAACACCTTGAGAGCGGAGGAATGGGAGAAAAGGCAAATAGCGATGAACAGAAATTGAATCATTGTCTGCAGAAAAAGGACAGAACACAAAACATGTAAGAATGTGAATGAAATTAATGGTACACGAAAAAGGAAAAAGGAATTTAACGAGCAAATGGGAAAGACTTTAGAACGTGGACAAACCTGCTTTGCCTTCATTTTCATTTTCATTTTTCTTCTCAGATACTTTTATGTACGAGGGAAAGTTCTCTTCTAAATTTAATACTATTCTCTCCGATTTCTTTTAAGGAAAAAAAGGGAAAAATAAAAAAGTGGGATCGAACTTGTGAAGAAAGAAAGAAAGAAAAAAAAGTGAATGGGAAAACACACTGTTGAAAACAACGAGAGATTTGGGTTTGGTGTGGATGAGGAAATGTGTCCTTGTCCATTTTGGTACGTTGCCTTTATATCCCGTGTACCGTCTTGATCATGCTTTGTTCTATTTTTCTCCCTCCTGTTTATTAATTTATTTATTGTTGTTGATTAAGATTTTATAAATATTTTACAAAACAGTTAGCCAATTATTTCATGGTAGGATATATATAAAAAAATTACATATTGAAAGAGTATGTTTTTGAACCATCAGATTAAATAAAAAATGATCATTTTAATAAAAGTACGACAATTCAATGAGATTTTATAACAACTTGATGGTATAAAACCATGTTCTTTTAATAATAATAATAATAACAATAAAATTGCACACACACACACACACACATATATATATATATATATATATATATATAATCTTTACACTTTACCATAAATCTATTTTAGGTTCTCTCAATTTTATGTATTTTTTTTAGACATTTTGATGTGAATTTTAACTAAATTTAAATTTCAGAAACATTTATTGCGCTTAGTATACCCCCATTATAAAAAAACTCCAATTTTTCATGAGATTATACCGTAATCATGTCTTAATTTTTCCAGAAAAATATTGGAAGTCTTTAATTGTCCTCTTAATTTAATTTGATAATTGTTGAGGGATTTTTTTTAATAAAAGATTGAGAGCGGGAGAAGTATTCTCTAAATGATGGGAAATACAATCTCTCGAGAGTACTCGAGGTTAGACCTTGAAATCATTAAGGGTTCGTTTAGAAAGTATACGTAAATTATAATTTTTAATTTTAACGTTTGAAATTTAAATTTTATATGAGAGTCTGAGTTTATGAAACGAACGACCTTTAAAGAGCTTCTAACATCGATACTATAGATCAGAATTAAATTTAAAGGATAACATTGACTAAAATATATCTCGATTGAGTTAACCTCGAACTTTTCAAAATGTATGAAAAGCGATATCGAGCTTATGATGTAATTGAGATTGCTTAAGGCCCGACTTCGAATGAAGTATTGACTTAAGGGCCTGACCTTGAGTAAAACTATAAACTTAAATTTCGGTCTCCAGTAATGCATTTTAAATTAGCATTTCTTTTCACAACTTGAATTAAGAAATTGAGTTGTAAATTTTATATTAGAAACAATACTAACATACAAAGTTAAATTTGAAATTTTGTGAACAATAAAGAAAATATTTGAATTGTAATTTGAGTTATGAAAAGAACATAATAGTTCCAAAACAAATATCAGGGAGTTTTCTAAGTTATTCCCAATATAAAAATTCACTTGAATTTTTAGAAAAATCAACTAACTGGTGATGTGTATCGAACAAAGTGTATAAAAAGATTTCACTGGTTGATCGCTTACCTTTGAATATAACACTTATTTCCACATTTTCCATCTTTTACTCTCTTGTTAAAATTCTTCCAACTCTCGTAATTTTGTTCCTAACTAAAGTGTCGTGTTGGAGTGCATTTTGGTGGTCCACCCTTGTTGCCTTTCCAGGTGAAGAGCGATGAAGAACAATTGAAAATAATAATAATAATAATAATAAAGGGACATTAAGAACTTATTCTTATCTTTCATTGCGGTTTGGGCGTTTGACCCCTTTTTTATATAGAAAAAAAAAAAAAGCAGCAGGGGATAAGGGGCCAATCAGGAAAAAAAAATCCCTAATTCGTGTAAATAGGAACTTCAAAATGATAAAATCCGCTGGTCTTCTAGAAAGACTGCCCATTTTATAGAAGACTCCACAAGAAACAGTCTTAAGGAAGGAGTTTCCTAGTTTTTTCTTGGTAATAAATAGTATTATGAATAGTACTAGTGCATACAATTAAACAAACATTACCTATCATTACCAAAAAAGAAAATAAAGCATTACATTACATCTGGCGTAAAGCATGCGTATCTCACTCAACAAACTTAAAAAAAAAAAAAATCCTTTGTTTTCGCAGCCTTACCTGACCGACATTTGTCCTGAGTTGGAACCAAAGCCCAAGTCTTCATGTATAGTTTTTTAGAATAATCGCTAACGAGGCCAGTATATGTGTATATAAATATATAAATAGATATATAATACATATCATATGTTTTGTGTGTGTCAACTGTCATATTTCAAACTTCTCCTTTTTTATTTTATTTTCTAAAAAATATCAAAATTCAAACTTCTGCTTGCAAAAATAGAAAAGACATGCCCAGTTGTCAATCTCCACAGTAGATACTTTGGGCTTATTTTTTAGAGTTTAACTTGAGTATAATTCTTGAGTTGAATTTGAGTTATAACTTAAGTTGAATTTGTAATTTGAGTTTGTGTTTGGTTGTGTACATTTGAATTATGGTCTGAGATAAGAATCTTTCTGAGTTTGTGTTTGAGTGAGTCAAAATTTGAATTTGTATTTAGATAGTATTTTAATAAAAACTCCATGCTGATGAAAAATTTTAATAGGGCATATGGGTCGGGTTTTATTCGTCTTTTCATTGTCAACGCATAGAAAAAAAATCATCTCAATCAGAATTAAAACGAAAAAGTTATAGCATTTTTAAGAATAGAAAAAATACTGTTCATTAATTTGAGTGCGAGTTTCTAAACTCGAGCTGAAGGGGAAACTTGAACTCGAGTTTTAGTCCTAAACTCGAGTTTAAACTCGAATTTAAACTTAAAAGAACATGAACTCGAATAAAATTATAACTCGAGTTATCTTTTTTTTGAGTTTTTCGCTCAAAAAAACAAGTCCTTTCTTTTTTTCTTTCATTTTTGGTGATGTGAACAAAGCAGTTATTGAAGATCACTTAGCAAAGTGGCCGCCAAATGGGACCTCCGACCACGTACACAGATTGTGAGATACCTCATTAAAACCCTCGGCATCCAGGAGAAAACAACAGAAAGGAAGAAGAAAGAAAGAAGATATGTATACACACATATAGAAATCGTCTTAAATCCAGCCGGATCAGTTAAGTACGTGTAATTTTTTTTCGTATTTATGCATGTGTAACACTCAATTTACTTCAGCGTAATATTCAACAAACATAGTCTAACACATTAAATATTGATTGTTACATGAACATATATACGTAAAGAATTACATATAAAAATAGACATTGTTACATTTACATTAAAAAATTACATTTTAATATATATATATATATATATATTTCAGAAAAAAAGATATATACATAATATTGAATATAATTGAAAAAGACTCCTTGGCTAAGTACACAGCTACTATGGTCGACGCATGTGGTTGATTGTTAATTTTAGAGATTTCTTTATTTCTTAAAAAAAAAAAATATTAAACATGATATCATCTATGTTTTTACGAATCCTGCCGTAACATATTGGGATAGCCGGGTAGGACTAGTCCATGTTACTCTTTAATCAACAATATCTATCGAAGAAGTCCTCAGATAAAAACAATTGCTTAAAATAATCTTTGATGACGTATCGTAATTAACTTCGACGTTGATCCATCTTGAAGAATTTAAAAATGAAATTAGTCTCCACAGCTGGTGAAGTACGTATTTACGTATTAAATAATGTCATACAAATTGATGTAACATGCTTTAGTAGGCGGTCAAGTAATACTTCTTTCCTTTAAATTAATTGAAAGATTTACGGGTTTGTGCGGTTTATAGATTTGAACAAAATTTTAATTTGTTTATAATTTTATAATAGAAGATACTGTAGCAAAAACATTTTGAACTGTGAAACAAACAAAGACTTGTTGATCTTAAATGGAATCGGTAATTATGGGTGAGCTTTAGATGATAATGTGGTATTTATAGTTTGTTTTAGAGTTCAGGCATTGACCCGTGACCCACCCATGTCCGCATGTACGGCCGTACGGATGTGTCATGCAATAGGATAAATGTCAATTACCAGTGGTTCTTGCACTACATTTGTCCAACGGTAGAGATGATCCTAATTTTGTCTGGAGTTCACATGGTGTACAGAATTTGGGGTGCCCTCGGGTGTTAGGCCATGTAAGGCTCATGCAGGGCTGTAGGAGGAGTGTGGAATGACGCCTCCAGGTGATCCGAACAGGAGGCCAGGGCGCCTTGATCGGCTGGCTGCGTGAGTAGGCTCTGTTACTATGTGAAAGGCTGATCGGTACAGCTTTGTCAGAACAGTGATCGACTTAACACGCTGATCAACCCATCAACACATATAGGGCTTGTTCTTTTGAGTGAAAAACTCAAAAAAAGATAACTTTAGTTACAATTTTATTCGAGTTCATGTTCTTTTAAGTTTAAACTCGAGTTTATGACTAAAACTCGAGTTCAAGTTGCCCCTTCAACTCGAGTTCAAAAACTCGAACTCAAATTAATGAACAGTATTTTTTCTATTCTTAAAAATGCTATAATTTTTTCGTTTTAATTCTGATTTAGATGATTTTTTTTTCTATGCGTTGACAGTGAAAAGACAAATAAAACCCGACCCATATACCCTATTAAAATTTTTCATCAGCACTGAGTTTTTATTAAAATACTAGCTAAATACAAATTCAAGTTTTGACTCACTCAAACACAAACTCAAAAAGATTCTTATCTCAAACCATAACTCAAATGTACACAACTAAACACAAACTCAAGTTACAAGTTTAACTCAAGTTATAACTCAAATTCAACTCAAGAATTATACTCAAATTAAACTCTAAAAGAACAAGCCCATAATTTTTGGGTTAAATTTGAGTTATAACTGGAGTTGAACTTGTAACTTGAGTTTATGTTTGGTTGTATGCATTTGAGTTATGGTTTGAGATAAGAATATTTTTGAGTTTGTGTTTGAGTGAGTCAAAACTTGAATTTGTATTTAGATAGTATTTTAATAAAAACTCAATGCTGATAAAAAATTTTAATAGGGTATATGGGTCGGGTTTTATTCGTCTTTTCGTTGTCAACGCATAGAAAAAATAATCATCTCAATCAGAATTAAAACGAAAAAATTATAGCATTTTTAAGAATA